ACTAGGAGGTTAGACAGTAGCTCATATAATCCCTACGCCGCGTATTCCTTAGGTGGACCCCACACTGTAATGGTGACTATATTATAAGGTAGGGGGTCCACCTAATGTATTCCCATATGCCCTACTGACCACCAGTAAGGATAGTCACAGATGCGAACCAGAAGTCCGTAAACCCAAACCCCGAACAAGGATAGTCATACTATAGCAATGTCCACTGTATTTTCCATTCTTCCCTCCACACAACCCCAATACCTTCTCTAGGTTGGTAAGGACACTCACAGATGCAAACAAGAAGCTATAGCTACAGTAAATCCATGAAACCTAAACCCCTGAACCCCAAACCCCTGACCCCTAAACCCCAAACCCCAACAGTCACAAATGCGAAAAAGAAGCTAGTCTGCCAGCACCATGGAGGACTGCCTGCTGGTGCATCGGCTGTTCGTTTGGCTGCTTGCAGGAACAACCTTGGCTTGGGATTACGGTTTACGGGGGCTTAGGGTTTAAGGTTAAAGGCTACAGGGGTTTAGGGATTTAGGGTTTAGGATTTAGGGTTCAGGGTCTAGTTTGGGGCTTGGGGAATAATGGGAACGACAATGGAAACTACTACAGCATGTTAGGGAGTATATTGGGGCATTTTGCGCTGTCATTACTTGGGGTTCGCAGGGAAAAGGGGAATATATTATAGAGGGATATGGGTGGTTGTCAAAATCACGGTCCCTTTTTGGGTACCCTAAATATTAGGTGCCGTATTATAATAGGGATCCAAAAAGGGACCATAACTTTGACAACCACCCATATATAGGGATTATTTTCCTTTAATCCCCTACTAACCACCAGTAGGAAAACTCCAAGTGGCGTAGAATGTTAAGCTCTTTCGTCGGGCCCTAAACCCTAAACCCTAGACCCGAAATCCTAAACCCTAAACCCTAGACCCGAAATCCTAAACCCTAAACCCTAGACCCCAAATCCTAAACCCTAAACCCTTTCCAACCATGAAGTCTTGCTCCAAGTAGCAGTTCCCCGGAATCGCGTCTCAAATTCATGCAAGGAAACCTCAGGGCAGGCCTAACAATAGAAATAATAGTTTTTTAGGGTTTAGGGTTTAGGAAATAATGAAATAAGAGTGCTAGTAACAATAATCGTGATAACAGTGATAATAATAATTGTAATAAGAGTACTGTAACAGCTTGGACATCTTAGGGTCCCAATGTAACATGGCTGATCAATAAGTGTAGGAAATGTTGTTTGAGGAAAAGGTATGTTCAACGTAGGTTGAGCTGCTGGGCTCAAAGAACATCTGTTTACGTGAAACAGTTCTTGCAGACGTGACGCTACAACACATGCACCCGTTTAGATTGCTGACATTCCTTTAAGGGTGCCGCCAATCCGTCTTTGTTGGCATCCAGCTCATTGAACACTTCCTCTGTGCAAGAAAGCGTGCCCTTGTCCGAAGATCGAAGGGATTCCTACTAGGTAGGCTCCTCCAAGCATAGGTCTGGAAACGTCCATTGAAGTGCCACGCGAACCTGAGCGAGTCTCCGACTTTGGCTTCAGGAATAACGTCAGATAATACCAACAATAATAATAACAACAAAATAAATGTAAATAATGATTGTCATAATAAATGTAATAGTCGTAAGTGTAATGGTAACAGTAGTAATAATAGTAGGTCTACCCAAAACCCTAAACCCTAGGGGAAGTAATGAGGGACCAGGGTCCGCACCGTGCTGTCGCTGCAGGCTGTGCGAAGCTCATGTGCTGTAACAGCTCCATCATGATTTCGATCCAGCCTGCCATGCAAAGGGCTTAGGGTTTTTTGGTTTAGAGATTATAGGGTTTACATCTTAGGGATTATAGGATTTATGGATTGTAGGGTTTCGATCAAGCCTGCCATGCACAGCGAAATCAAGAGGGCAGTCCATCGTCAAGCATCAAACAGCGGACCTTAACCCTAAGCTCTAAACCCTAAACTCTAAACCCTAAACCATGAGTCGTCTGTTCAGAACTAGGACCTACGGGTTCGGAAGAATTGGGAGGACCTCAACGACTCTCATCCAATATCTTCCTTGCTTCCAAGACTTTGGCTGTTTTTCCAGAAATGCCATCAACTTCCAACGTTCTTCAAGTTGGACATGCGCAGTTCCGCTTGCAGAGTCCTCAGCAGGCTTATAAGCACCAGTCGGTACTGCGCACACGAAGAGTTCCCTATATACCCCCATTTTAGTAGTTTCCATTTGATTTTCATTCCCCTTCAGGGAGAGCTTGTGCCTTTGAAACGTCAAGGTCAGGTTCAGGAAACCCGTCACTTTCAACGTTTGGCACAAAGGACTGCATACCCTAAACCCTACACTCCATGTATCCCTGTATCCCCTATACGACCCCTATATACCCCCTATAAACCCCTAAAAAGGGTAACCCTAAACCCTGTGGGGTTTGCACAAACTTTTCAAGAAACCACAATGCATTCAGGAAAGCCATACGACCCCAATCCCCACACGAGCAAACAAGAGAACCAATAGAAAAGTTGTGTCAAATCACACTATACACGTTCTGAAGCCGTGGGACCCATTAAAGTAGCTGGGACTTGCTGATCAGATTCAAGCTAGTTAGATGACTGTCAGTGGAGAGTTCAGACGATTCCGTCGGGACACGTGATTCTGCAGGTCCATAATCACAACCTTGATCATGATGGCAGATGGGCTTCAAAGGCAGGCAGGAGCGTATTCCTTGTGAACCGCACTCTGGTAACGCCTTCCAGGCGGTGCTTCCTCTGTAAAAACAGATCGATTTACAACTTCCACCGCGACGACGAAGGCAGAATGTAACTTGACAAATCTGCCCGGGATGAAACGACTTAGCGGGTTTTCCGGAACAGCTTGCTCTTTTGATCTCTTTTGGCAGTTGACCTTCTGACGATGGTGGGAGCTGTCCAAATGCACGCGCTGTGATTGGCAAGCGGAAGGAGACAGTGTCAAGAAATGACTTGAAAGGAGAAGGCTGACAGGAACTTCAGCAGAAGCCATGCATGAGCAAATGAAACGCCTCCGAAAGATTCGCTCCACAACGTCACCTTCGGCACCTTGTTGTCCGATTGATTTGGCAGGAGCCCAGCAGGACATGATGCGGATCCAAAAGAGCAAAATCGCAGCTGAGTGATGCGCCCGAGAATCCGGCTCCAAACTCTTCCCCGAAGGAAGTGATGTCTTCCCTGGGAGTATACCGCAGCACGAAAACCCGCCAGCCTGCGACACAAGCGCCTGGTTGTCGTGTTGGACGGCAGGATTGCATGACCTCGGATTCACAGGAAGGGTTAGCACGACAGTGGAGTCGAGACGCTGAGATCTCGACTGCCAAAGACGCGAACAACTTCATCTGGAGACTCTTCCTCATGGCTCAAATGAGAAGGGAGAAAGGCGCACGCCTCACCGATCCTACATCCTGCCAGCCTGATACGTGTTGGTGAAGCCATCAACTTTGCATAGGAGATATCTCGCATCGTAGCCTGCAGGCTACAGCAATCATCTCGAAGGCCCGTGGGAGGGTTGTGGGAGGCCCGTGGGAGGCCCGTGGGAGGCCCGTGGGAGGCCCACTTGGGGGGTTTGGGGCTGGGTGAGACCCGGCACGTCTAAGAGCAGACTGCCTACACATTTGATTCCGCCTGCCTGGCAAGCCTTGCTGTGGCCCAGACCTTCCAACGCTGCCAGACAGGCTTTCACGAAGAATCGCTTGTTCTCGGGCACCTGGTCGCGGGGCTGCGTTCAAACACTCTCGGACTTTCGCTGCAAAGGCAGGTGTGCCACACGCGATGCAATTGCACATTCCTACCCGTCAGAATTTTGATGTTTGTGCGCAGGGATGTAGCTTGCCAGGACTAGATTTACGGACTGACACACCACTTGCCTCAGACACGGAAAGCATGCAAACCTTCTTACCCAGATCTGAAAGGAAAGACACTTATGTGCAGCGAGCACCGTGTATCAGAACTGGTTCAGGGTCCCAGGGTGAGGCTCTATGTTGGTGTAAAGCATGGACATCACCGTCAACCCGGGGCCGCAGCTTCCTCGCTCTTTGGCTGCAAGATGCCAATGTGAGGATCTCCGCCTGCAGGACACGAGGCGTCTGAAGCCAGTTATCCATGCATGTCCCCCTGCGGTCTCAGGGGCGCACCACCATCAGCACCTCCCGGTGCGGCATAGTGAACAACCTAGCAACATGGGGCAGTCACGTTTCTGGGGATGATGCTGGAATTCCTCCCGGCCTGTCGATGGCAACCTTGGCTTTGCCATGCGCGACAAGGGCTGGATAGGACTCGTGATACGGTGGATACCAAAAATCCTGCATGACCCTAAGTACCTTATACCTTGGGAATTAGGATATTATAGTCTATTAGGGTCATACAGAATTTTTAGTATCAACAGTAGGAAGGCTTCCAGTTTTGCGAACCGGCTGCTCAAGCCATCCACATAGCCAGTTCGTCCCCGCACGTAGCACTTGTCACCTTCCAGGGCCTCAGTTCGAGCCATACAAAAGAAAAATAGTATATTATTATATACTATAATATAGTATAATATACTATACTATATTTTGATATATTATAATGTATTATACTACATGAATGGCGCTTGCAAGCAAAGACTTGCCACTTGTTGGGTGGCGGACAATCTCGCAAACAGCGTCGCCACCTGCGTGAAGGAGGCTTTTGGGCTTGTTTCGCTTTTCGATCTGGCATAATATAGTATAATATACTACTATATACTATAACCTAAAATAATATAATATAATATACTATAATATAGTAGATTATCTTATATTATATTATGAAATACTACAGTATATCATAAAATAGTATATAATATAATATACTATAGTATATTTCAATATACTATAATATACTATAGTATACTATAATATATTATAGGCACCGCTCAGTCTCCCACGGTTGTCCCCAGCATAAGCAAGGTCAGACTTCATGCAACCTCTTGCACAGCAAGGCTTTCTCCAAAGCGCTTTGGTAAGACTACAGGGAGTATAGGGTATATATAGAGACTTTATAGGTTTAGGGTTTAGGGCTTAGGGTTTAGGATTTAGGGTTTAGGGTTTATAGGGATAATGGAAAAGAAAATGGAAACTACAAGGATTATAGGGGTTGCATAGGGGTTATACAGGGATAATATAGGGTAATATAGGTTATATAGGGATAATGGAAAAGAAAATGGAAACTACAGGGATTACTGAGATTCGTGCTGTAGCTTGTGTCACCCATGATGACAGTCAAGCCTCGGCATCAACGGCACGGCTATAAAAATAATAGGAAGAATATAGCAATCGCAGTCGTCATAGTAGTAGTAGTAGTAGTAGCAGCAGTAGTAATAGTAATAGTAATAGTAATAGTAATAGTAATAGTAATAGGTGTATGATAATAATGATAGCACTGGCCCCTGAACAGCTTCCAGGGTTAGATTCTGAGATGCCTTCCTTCATGAGGAATGACGGTCGGACAGTTGCCGTGCGGCGTGTGCCCAACAACAACGCCTTGGCCCAGCTAGCGGGGCACCGCCAATGCTGCAAGATGTGTAGTCCCCCGCGGGTTAGGGGTTATGCTGGGATAATGGAAGAAAGGAAACCGGGTTTAGGGTTTAGGGGCGATAATCCCCCTTCAATAGATAGAATATGGGGGTATATGGGGATCCTATTATGATATACCCAAAAAGCCATATTCTATCTACTTAAGGGGGACTACATATATATATATATACGTATGTACTGCTGTAAGCCGAGGGTGCGACGACAAATGCCGTTAGCCTGAAGATGTTCAACCAGTTCTGGCCTTTGCAGCCGTATTGAGTATCTCAAGAAAGCACCTGCAACTTGACTGAGCGAACGGCGGATACTGCCTGCCATGTATCATTAGTCCGACTCCGGGAGTTTGCCGAAACGAGACCGTAGCTTCAGCGCAACTATTTCTCCCTTGCTTGCCAGAAACTGGCGGCGTGACATCAGCCACTACTTGGAAAAGCAAAGTCCGGGGAAGTTGCAGTTCATCGTGGAAAATGGAAAAGGCAGGACTGACAGTATGTGAACAAGTTTCACACAGTCGTCCACTTCCAAACATCCAGCAGCCGGAGGGTCCCAGCCAATCGAAGCATTATCAAACATCCAGCGCGGATGCATCATTTCGCACCCACCGCTGACTCACCTCGCGCTTGCCAGCGCGCCTAGGAAATGGTGACACCAAAGCTTCAACGCTCAGTTTCAGGTGGCACTTGCGGCAGCTTGACATTATTCCTCAGCATCTGGTGAAAGCGGCCGTGGCTGTGCTGAAGCAACAGCAAATGGAAACTACTATATCATTATAGGGGACATTTAGGAATAATGGAAAAGAAAATGGAAACTACTATAGTATATAGGGGTTATATGGTAGTTTCCCTAAATAAGGGGATCCCAATATAGACTCCCCAAATACTACAGTCCTTGTAACTGGGACCTCCAAAAGGTACTCCTAATTTTTGAAAAACCCCTCATGGAGACAAGG